TAAAAAATAGCTGCATAGACAATGTTTTGAAGTCACTGCAGAAAACTCTCTGACCCCAGTGTGTTAGGCATCTACACACCTAGTGGAACATATGTGCAACCACTCAAAGAACCACAATTTTTTGACCAAAATTAAAATGGTCAAAAATCAAAATTCACTTTGGTTGAAAGTCCAGTTTTTACATCAGCTCTTATACTAAAATGAAAAAAATACAGGATAAAGTGACTACAGGTCAAATACAGATGCCATAGAAGTTAATGGGTGTTTTTCCACTGACTTCAGTGGTACCCGGATTTCATCCTATGAAAATAACAGTGAACATCTCACAAACCATCAAGTTTCTCTTCATGTGTTTGGAAAAAAGAAACTGAGACTAGAGACATTAATGAATTATTTGGAAGTATGTTATTAAATAGGACCTTTGCTCATAAAGAGGTAGCAGTAAATTTTGGGCATCCTTACAAACTAGTCATAGTGGACCAAGTTCAACCCCAGTTGGCACAGAAAGTTTCTGTGTGAGGGCTGCTACACCCCAAGGGAATTCACTTCCCAAGAAGAGAAGTGGCCATTTCCAGGGCCTAGTCTCTCTGTGGGCTATATAATTGCCACGCAGGGTAGGCTGCACTGGGCATGTACCAAACACCACCCAAGCCAGTGCAATCCACTTTTGGGGCTGTGCTGACCACCTGGGAAGGTTTCAGGTGCATTGTGAAATCCTCCACAATTAATGATCCTGTGCCAGACTTTTTGCCAGTGGAAAATAATCTGGGCCTTTTCAATGTACTAAATTGTCAGTAGAAAGATATCAGTATACAGACTCTATTAAATATATTGGTAAATTGAATAAAACTGTATGAAAGAATAATTACATACAACAAGTAAGAAGGAAAATAAGTACTCACAGGAGGGAAAAATAAGACAAAGGGAATAATATCCTCACCCAAAATGCTACGTTTACCCTTTAATAGAATAGATAAATACAATTATACAATTCAGCCTGTTGCTCCTAAAATATGTGAAATGTTCATGGAACCTAGGATAAGTATTTACCTCATTATCAGTTCCCACATCCAGGATTACAGGCAGGCATTCCTGTGGTTTCATTCCTCCACATGCTGTGTAAAGGGCCAATTTACCAACTGGGATGCCCATTCCATAACAGCCAAGGTCTCCAAGGCCAAGAATACGTTCTCCATCAGTCACCACAATAGCCTTGTTGGAGGGAAAAAAAAGTACTATGAAATCATTTCTTTTCTGAAATGCTAAGTACTTACAAGCAGCATATCTATACTCCTCAACACACCTTTTTGTTTCCATTTTAAAATTATTATTACAGACACACATTAAATTATAGTCAAGCGAAAGTCCTGAATTCCATCATTACATTTTATTGCATTTTCACTTCAATTATATTGCAACTTCACTTCACTGTAAAAGGTTTTCCCTGTGCTAATCCTCTAAGAATACAGCACTTGTCACTTACCAGACAGGTGCTCAGTGCTGCATTCCAAAGGAACAATCATTTTCCCTCCTACATTGCTCTGAATCAAGAAGGAAGAAGAGGATTTGCCACTATGTTGTGGAGAAAGGGTAAGGAAAGATCCTTTGCTTCTAGGTGTTGCTGCAACTGTTCCCAGTGATACTGGGTGATACTACTACTGCAGCTCCCTGACAGGAGTGAAACTATAGTATTCCAGGATATAGAATATCAGGGTTGGAAGGGACCTCAGGAGGTCATCTAGTCCAACTCCCCCCTGCTGAAAGCAGGGCCAATCCCCAACTAAATATGTGTACACAGCATCTGGGAGCAAGCGTCCCAGCCCGGGACCACAGACTTGTGGTAGATGAGCTTGCGCTAGCATGCTATTTTTAGTGACTTCAGAGCTCAGGCTCTAGCCCAAGTTGCAATAACAAAGCACCATCTACACAGCTAACAATAGCGCTAGTGCTAGCTCTGCTAGCACGCATCTGTAGACCAAGGCTAGGCAGCTCACTCCCAGATGCTATATAGACATACCCCAGAAGCTCGTGCCCTTCAACATCATACTTCTACCCACCCTCATAAACACAGCATCTAGAGTTTCCTGCAATTGCAGTGCAGCTTCTCTGAGAATATAAAAGAATATATTTTAGTATAAGGGGGTTCCACTGTATACATGCAAATATGTTGTTTCACCAACTATAACAACACACAGCTCTTATTTAGTGTTTTTCAGCAGTAGATCTCAAAGTATGTAGAAATAGCACCATAATAAAACAAAATTCAGACATTTAAAACCAAGAACACCTGTCTGCACTCAAAAGAAAGGTTTCTGTAACACTGGACAGAACCATATGAGTGAAGAGTCACGTACGACAGAGTAAAAGATAATAATTTAGAATTAAGAGGAGGGTAAAAGACAATGCAACTTTGACTGAAAAATGGTTACTAATCTTTTGTAACTGTTGTTCTTCCAGATGTGTTGCACATGTCCTTTCCACCTTTGATGTGTGCATGCCCCGTGCACAGTCACTGGAAATTTTTCCCCAGTGGTGTCCAGCAGGGTGGCTTGAGCACCCTCTGCTGCTGTGTACCACTGGTGCCAGTATAAAGAGCCCAGCTGACCCCAAGTTCCCTCAGTTCCTTCCTTCTGGAAACTCCAATGTGGGGAAGGGGAAAGAGTCATGGAATGGACATGTGCAACACATCTCGAAGAACAACAGTTATGAAAGGTTAGTACTTTTTTTTCTTTGAGCGATTGCACATGTGCATTCCACTCTTGGTGACTCCCAAGCAGTAATATAGGTGGAGGGATCACAGTTCATGTACTCACAGACTGTAGTACAGCACGACCAAATACAGCATCCTCTCTAGAGTACTGGGTGATAGCATAATGAGAGCAGAAAGTGTGCACCAATGACCAGGTTGTTACTTTACAAATGTTGTGGATAGGGATCTGCACTAGGAACGCTGTTGAGGATGCTTGCACTCGTCTGGAGTGAGCTGTCAGCTTGTCTGGTGGAGAAATGCCTGCCAGATCATAACAAGAGCTGATACAGGAAGTTATCGAATATCAAATTATCTGTGAGGAGATTGGAAGACCTTTAATTCTGTCTGCTATAGCCACGAAGCCTTGGGTGGACCACTGAAACAATTTGGTCCTGTCTATGTAGAACACCAATGCTCATCTAACATCCAATATGTGTAGCCTTTGCTCGTCCTTATTTGTGTGTGGCTTTGACTAAAATACAGATAAGTAAACTGGTTGACTGATATGAAAAATTGAAACTACTTTAGAGACAAAACTCAGATGAGAGCATAAGTATACATGTGAGTCTTATCTTACGCGGGGGTTCCGTTCTGCGGTTAGCATGTAAAGCGAAAACCGCGTATAGTCAAAATTATATTGAGTTGAATGGCGGGCAAAATCGCCCGCACTACAGGTACAGTATTAAAATTGTTATTTTTCTCTTTTTTTGTTTGTTTGTTTTTTTGGTTTTGCCGACTGCGTAAAGTTGAAATCACGCATGTTAAATGATGCGACAGACTTGTACCTTATCTTCAAAGAAGACTGTATATAGTACATGCAGTACAGAGACTCTTCTGGCAGAAGTGATAGCAATTAGGAAAACCACGTTCCATGGAAGATGTAGTATGGAGCACATTTCCAAAGCCTCAAATGGCCCATAAGTTTAGACAGGACCAAGTTCAAGTCCTAAGGGGGAACAAGTTATCTTAATTGAGGGTGCAACCTTTCTAGGCCTTTAAGGAATCTCATTGTCATGTTGTTAGAAAAAACAGAAGTTATCCCAGCAAGGTTCATCATCTTCTTCTTTCGTATGGCTGGCGTAGAGCAGCAACTACAATTTCACCTGAAGTTGATCAAGCCAAATGGCTACATCAAGAGTAGCAGAATTTATTGCAGTAATGCCGCCTTCATATTTATAAGTTGGGTAGTAGGTAGTGATATGTTTGATGGTCTGTTGTGGGGAACCACACTCACACACCGGGGAGTCCTTGATTTTCCATTTGTGCATTAGATGATATCTGCATTTACCATGGTTGGTTCGAATTTGGTTCAGAGTTGACCAAGCTGACTATGGAAAGTCAAACCCAGGAACCTTCTGTGTGGGATCTGGCACACGGAGCTTATTTTTTAAGTCTTGTTTAGCCCAATCTGCTTTCCAAGCCTCCTTCTGATCATAGCCTGATTGCATGAAGCTAAACAAATGTTCCCAGAAAGGCTTGAAGGACTTAAGATATTGAAGGGCGGGGTGCGTTGTCAAGTTCTTGGTGAATAGGAAGACATCTGTTTTCCTGGATTCGCTGAGCTTTGCGGAATGTTGCAGCAGTTCGGCATATTGGCGGGTGAGCGATGTGAGACAGGACAGGTAGCCATGGTGTTGAAGTCAACTTAAGGATTCCCATGATGCACTGCATCACTATATTTAGCTGGCTATCCACAAGTCATGTGTGGTTGCATCTGCTCCAAACATTGAATATATTGAATTCAGCTATTGAATATATAAGTGCTATTGCAGATGTTTGCAACATTGATGCTAATGCACACCAGGTTGGATCTGCTAGTTTCTGCATTATGTTGACTGTTGTTTTTATTTTTGCAGCTACCTTCTCAAGATGATCATGGAAGGAGAGGGTCTGGTTGAGTTTCACTCCGAGATACGTTGGAAAAAATTGCGTTGCACATTTTTACCACAAAAAGCTACTTTCATGAGTTTTTGGCACTCTTATTGTCAAGATGAAATGTGCTTACTATTGTTTTTCCAGGGTTTGCTTTGAGCCTCCATTTTTGGAAGTATTGTTCCATATTTTGAAGGTCCTCCCTTAATGCTTTCTCAATGTCATGGAGGTTTGATGCTTGGATTGTCATGGCAAGATCATCTGCATATCAAGATTTTCGTGATTTAATTTGAGACATGTCACTCATGCAAATATTAAGAAGTGTTGGCACAAATACAGAACCTTGTGCTAGCCCACTGTTTATGGTACAGGGTGAGCTGGTCTTATTACCCAAGTACACCCGCAGACATCTGTTACTCAGCCTGGTCCACAGCAGGCAAAGTGTTTAGTAGCAGTGTATAATTTTAGCAAGTTTCAGCATCAGGCCCTTAATCCATACAGTATCATACGCAGATGACCGGTCAACAAATACTGCGCCAGTCTTTAGGTTTTTTTGATAGCCAGTCTCAATGTGAGTTGTGAGTGCCAGAGATTGGTCACAACAACTATGGTTTGGCCGGAAGCCTGCCTGTTCGACAGGGGTAATTGGCTCAGTAAAAGGGTGTATTCTTTTGAGGATGATACGTTCAAGAAGTTTATAGGTCGTACATAATAGAGAAATTGGCCTAGAGCTTCCCACTTCATCAGGGGGCTTTCCAAGCTTTGGAATGGCAATTACCATTGCCTCATGCCATATTTCAGGGATCCGTACTGTCCTTAAGGTAGTGGAGTACAATGTTGCTGGCCATTGGAGTCCTTTGGGGCTGAGATGATTAAGGAATTCTGGTAGAATACTGTCAGGGCTTGCAGCCTTCCCTTTTTTTATCGCGGCAAGTCCTTCTTTTACTTCCCCGATGGTGGAAGGTTCTCTTCAGGGGATTCAGGTAAGTGTTCGGTAAACTTGTTGATACACTTCTCTTCTTGTGTGTTTATCATGTGGTCCTTTTGTGTTCTCTACCAGTTTGGAGGCTATTGAGTTTGGCTAGATATTTGGTGGCCAGTACTCTGTGAGATTAGCGTCCCCAAGGCATCGTAGTAGTGTCCAGGCTCGACGACTTGAACGTGTAAAATCAAGGTTTTGCGCGCAATCAAGCCATCACTGGCATCTTGCTGTGTCAAAGGAGTGTAGCAGGGCTTTTGCGATATGAGAACTCCTCGTCTGATTGTATTTCCAGAGCAACTACTGCATCTCTCTCATCCAGCAAGGAGTGTACTTTTTCCGGAATCCTCGGGGAATGTTCTTCTTTCCTGCTACTTTCAGGAGCCCTGTGAACCGCTGATAGCATTCCAGTCTTGCTGGAATTCTTGCAACAGTTTTCTCAACAGTCTGTTTTTAGGCATCCCAATCAGCTTTAGCAAAATTCCATCGTGGTACCTGTTTCAGAAAGAACATGGGAATTTCAATGCCTATGTAGATCATTATAGACCTGTGCTAGCTGTTTGGAAATGTCGATAGTACTTCAACTGTTATGATGAGAGTGTTACCACTTTG